TCCGTAGATGAAGCTGGCGATGCAGCAGCCGACTCAAAGCCCCCGGGGGTCGAACCCAGCGATCGCGAGAGAGGCGGAAGGGACGTCCCCGAAGGAACCAGAACAGCCGACGAAGCCAAACCCAGCCCAGCGGGTAGAACAACATCGCGAAGCTCAGGCTCCCGCACAAACCCTCGAGCAACTGCCGGGTGACCTAGGAGCCCCCCAGAAACAGACACAGGCAAGACCGCAGCTGAAGGAGAGACTCCGGAGGAAGAGACAAGGAAGCGGTCCGAGAGCCCCACACAAGACTCAGCCAGGACCGAACCTGGGAGGGAACCAATGGGATATCCACCAGTTCACCAGGAACCCGAACCCGGCGAGCTGGGAAAACACCAATCCCTGGCGAGCAGACACGCGGACTGACCGGGAGCCAAAACCAGCCAGTCGTCGAGGTAAGCCAACACTCAAACACCTAACAGACACAGATGGGTCACTACGACCCGGGTAAGGCATGTGAAAACGCGAGGTGCCAGGTTCAACCCGAACAGGAGACAACGAAAGCGGTAACTTTCATGCCCCACAACAAAACCGTAGCAACGCCTCCTGCAGGACCGGCGCAAAGAGCTTCAACCTGGCAGACAACGCCCGAGCAACAGAAACCAAAGTGCCAGACCCAGGAACGTCCCCAAGCGCCTCTACATCCTCTGCAAGCCAATCTGAAGACAGCACCAGGAGGGAAAAGAAATGCAGGACCGAAACCAAAAAGCCGCAAGCACGCAATTCCACCGCCATAAGTGCAGCCGACAGGGAAGGAATCTGCACAAGGAGCCGCCCCGCACCAACAGCCCGCAGAAGGCCAGCACCGAAAAGACACTCATTAACCCTTAAAGTGCGCATCACTTCATACGACGTGTTGGAAGTTGTTCCAGTCAACTGCGCATCACATCATATGACGTGTTGGAGCACTACACAAGATTTAAACAGCCCGCGGATACACGGGGTTCACCACACCTTCATCAGGGCTCTTGTAAATAGACACCGTTTTTTTAAAAAATCGTGGGCCAAACTCCCGGGTGTTAGGCCCTCAGTATTGAGTGAGCTACCAAGCCTGATGCACGCAGCATGAGCTAACAGCACTGCTGTTCAGCTTGTGACCACAGCATCGCCTAAAAATGCCATAATATACTTGTTCATGCTATTATGTAGCGATTATATTATTACAGAAGACCCCTGACTGATAAAACTGACCAGGGTTCTGATAATAGCAGGATTGTGGTGATATTTAGCGCTGTGCGCTATGGAGGGAGGAGTAATGCTGTGGGAGGGAGGGTGGTGGCGATGTCTTCTGACTGTGTGGCCACCTTTTATTGACTGCACTCACCATACCAGCATAGTGGTTCGCTATGGTGAACACAAATGTAGATACTTATATATAACGTGTGTATAGAGGGTTTAAACAGCAAGAGGAGAAGGTTGGGAGCCTCCATTTTGGTGAGGGCTGTGGTGTTGTCTGAACGACGCCACCGTGCAGACGACGGTGTTGTTTACTGGTTACCACGATGGTCTTTGGGCACCATGCCAGTTTACTTGTACAAGTATGGTGAATAAAACAGGTAGATATTTATATATAATGTGTGTATATAGCGTAATAACACCACAAACAGTATTGTTGGAGGAAAAATATTAGTGCGTCTGGCCTTGAGGGCGGCAGCCATCAGCTGACTCTGTGAGGTCCTATGTCTTTGTGCCTTTACTCACCATACAAGCTTAGATGTACAGTTATGGTGAACAAAACATGTAAATACTTATATATAACGTCTGTATATAAAAGCAAAAACAGTATGGTGGGTGGAGAATGGTGGCAAGTCAGGTGAGGTGAGGGAGGGAGAGAGTGGCAGCCAGTGGCGGGCTGCCACTGCCTGTCACTGCCACTGCCACTCAGCATACCAACTTAGTGGCTCGTTAGGGTGAACACGAATATAGATACTTATATATAGCGTCTGTATATAGTGAATAAAAGCAAAAACAGTATTGTGGGAGGAGAATGTGGGTGAGTCAGATGACTTGAGGGAGGGCGTGAGTGGCTGGCTGGTACACGGTGGTCACTCCTCGTTACTTTTTGACTCATAATAGCTACTTAGTGGTTCGTTATGGTGAACAAAACATGCAGATACTTATATATAACATGTGCTTATAGTGTAATAACCGACAAAGTATTTGTTCACTGATTGATGAACATAATTGAATCAACAATATGCTCACCATATTTTTGAGTACAGCGATGATTCGCTCATTTTATTATATAAATATATCAAACTTCACACTATTGAATAATATTACAGCAAAAAAACTATGAAAAATCAGAGACATTGAAATAATTAGGTAATTATCTCTTTGTTGCAACTCCGGCCTGACAGCTGGCGATCAACAGACCGCCTGGGACACACGCTGACTCAGCACCTGTTTTTTGCCAGACTTCCCCGCCCTATAGCGGGCAATATATGCCACTTACGATTTTTTTATTATTTTTCTCATGATCAGTGAACACAAATTAACAGATTAGGAAGAATTTTTTTTTTAATTTTTTCAAAATTACATGCGCCTGTGGGGAAGAAAGGATATTATACCCCTAGCATGTTAAGGGTTAAGATGCGTAAAATTGCCCCCCCAGAAAAACCCGGACAACCGTCAACGCCTCGCGCCACTCAAACGTGCGGGCTCGACAGAACGAGTCCCAAGCATCCAGCGAAAACCAGGAGCAGTCTGCAAGCCAAGACGAACCCGTAACCTCACAATGCACCCAGTAAGGACACAACGATCCAAACCCGAACAAAGAAGGAACCATTACGGAGGCAAACTCCGGGTCACGCAGGAGGTAAGCCGCAAAGGCTGACCACACCACAGGCGAAGAGATGCGGGTAGCCGAAAACCTCCGGAAGACGGAACCAAAGGAACCACAGGGACACGGAACTGAACCCAAGGAGGAGCAGAACCCAAGTCCAAATCGTACACAGAGTGGGGGGGGGCGGGGAAAGAACACTCCACTCCTTGCAACAGTAAGCCCCGCCCAAAAGGACAGAAATCCAGGCGTGGTTCAATGGAGCCCAAGGCCCCCAAGGCAGCTCCTCCCTAACCCCAGGAGCCTCCACACCAGGCTCCGGGGCCGAGTCGACCTCCATAGCCCCGGCCTCACAAGAAAAAACCAGGGCAGCTGAGAGAGCTGGAAGAGAAGGGGCCCACTGGTCAGACCGCAGAGGAACAGACTCGAATGCCTCCGCAGCTACCCCAGACAGGGCAACCCCCGAAACTGCCCAAGTCACAGAAACCTCTAACCCCACCCCGACCCCGAAGCCTTCAGATGCCTAGGAGCCGAAAGCAGGAGGGGGGGAAACAAAATGGACCAAAATGAAGGGGAAAAATAAAGGGGGTGTGGACGGAACCAAGGCCGAAGCGACCAAAACCCCCAAGTCTGGGTCCCTACACAAAGCGGGGCAGCCTCGGGGCATCCAGGGAAGTGACAACCCGAGCGCGTTGCAACAACCTACCCTGCAAAACGCGAGCTGCCTGCACCTAAGGAAAGTCATCAGCAAACTGGGTGAATTGAGTCATGAACAAGCAACACAGCTCGCAGGACTCCGGGTCGAATGTGTCACCGACCCAACAGGCAGCATGACGGAGGCAAAAACAAGGAGAGTCACCCTGAGACAAGGGGACAGAGCAACCCTCCAAGGTGGGTTGCTCTAGGAGAGGGGACGCAAGGGTCTCCACTATCGGACCCGAGAGCCCCCGTGGGGTTTCCCAGGGCCCCTAGACTGGGTCTGCTAAGGGTTATCCCAGGCAGGGCACTGCTAACCGGCGCGTCAAACTACCAAGCAAACTGCTAAAGCTGAACCCACGGGACGTGTCCACCCGTGAGGGTGAAGCATGGGGTGCCACCACACAAACGACCCTAATATAAGGGGAGGGAACTCAAGGCAGACCCCCCCCCCCCCTCCACACCAGGCAAAAACAAAAATAAAAGAAAAACCACACAAGTGGACAACATACCCAGAGGGAACAGAGCCGGCCGCTGCTATAGGTGAAAACTAGCTACGCAGTACCCTGCGCTCCACCAGTGCTATAACTACCACTTACCCCAAGGTAAACAAGGGATGAAAACCCCCAAACACTCGGGGCGGCCAAATGCCAAGCAGCGAAAAGCCAACAGAGGTAGACCCAAGGTGACTTGTGGAAGGCAACACCAAGCCCCAAGGGGGGTACTTACAGGGCACTCAGGGAAGATTACCCTAAGCACATGCAGCCCGAGTACCTGAGAATACTACTCCCAGCTCACACGACCACCGTAAGAGCAGCACTGAAAACAAGTCACAGCACTGAACAAGACTGAAGCTGGAACCACACGACCATGCACTATCCCATCAGCCGAGGAACTGGGGCTGGAATCGCTGGCACAGCGGTCTGGGGCTCCCCCTTCCCTTCTGGGGAGGGGGGAGCTGTGCAGACATGCAGTGCGGCTCGTGTGATGTCATGCTTGTTTCTTTGTTTTTCTTGGGGAGTTTTGTCCACTCGTTTGTCGATTTTTGTTGTTAACCAGAATAGGGATTTGTTTTGTGGTGCTTACCTTTCTGGGTGCCTTTCCTGATCAATGGCAGATATAGAATGCTCCAAATCACATGTGGATTTCTATGGGCCATTGCTCCCCGTGCCTCTGTGACGGGGCCAGGTTCTGGCCCGTGGTCCCCGGTAGGCCTAGAACTCCACCCACATCGACTGATGCAAAATAGTTAGGGTATCCATATCAGCCATAGATAGCTCCGGGAAGCCATAGGGGCTCCCCCCAGAAAAGTACTGTATAGAGGAATCTCATTATATTTTAGATATGTTATAATACAACTACAATAACATAGTCTACTCGTTTCTAAGGAGAATTGTATTCCCCATTAATTAAAAGTGACTCCTCATAATATATTTTTTATTGTATTTAAAAAGATTTAAATTATAGCCATTTTCTCTTTCAGGATTTCAGGATATCTAGACAAAACTGTGAAAGATAATGGATGTTAACAAGAAAGGCGACATGATTCAGCCTCCTGCAAACAACCGCACACAGCAAGACACACTGTCAAAGGGGCCTCTAGATGAGGAGGAAAGGCTGAGTGACTTTGGGTCACCCAAACATGGACCAACACTCTCAACCAGCACTAGCAGTTTTGAAGCTCTTGATCCTCATGATCCTAACCTTAGCCATCTGGCATCATTAATGTTTTCACACACATCTAATTATCTGCAGGTTTGTGTGAAAACACATTTGCATATTCAGTACTGTACAGGTATTCTTTAAAATATCACTGAATTTTAGGTGATAATTTTATAGAATTACTAACTATATTGTTTTTTCTCATTTTTTCTATAGGGTGAGTTGTCTGCAGTCTTAGAGGACTATACTCTGCTAGAACAAATGAACAAGTCAACCATTACTAAATATGCAGATATGCGTCAAATTGGTGGAAGTGTAAGTAGGGCTCTTAAGGATCTCAATGAAAAATACTTGGCTTTACAGCCATACCTAGAACAGATTGACCAGATTGAAGACAGTGTTACAAAACTGGAAGCTGCTGCATATAAACTGGATGCTTATTCTAAGAGATTAGAAACAAAATTCAAAAGTTTGGAAAAGAAGTAAAGTTAATATAATTTATTAAAATTGATTTAAAGTTATTAGTTTGAGAATATTGTTTTTATGTGACAGTCACCTTATATTGTACTGTACAGTAATAATAATAAAAAACATACTACAGTAATTCAATATCTAAATTAATAGCATTACATAGTTATGAAAATATAGGTACAGTAGTTACATCTGAATTATATTGCTGGATTTATTGAGGAAAGAGAACCTACAATCCTACAATAAGTTTGTTTTAATTCTGGTTCATTTAGAGCTGTGCAGTTTAAATTTTGAATAGATGGACCCAAATAGTTTTAGTGGGGTTTTGTGCTATGCATATAACTGAGCTTATTGTAAATAGGGCTTTGAAAAAATTCCAAGGTATTTTCTGGCCCAACCCTTATTTGCACCCTGGGCCCAAGACCTGTTTCACCCAGAAGTCTGTCAAACATGCCAGGGCTCTGTTAACTTTAACCTCTACTTTAACAAATATTTTTGCTAATTGTCTTGTCATTTAATTTAGTGAAGTACTGTAAGACCATGGAGATTTCTCAATCCAGCACTGAGCAACCACTCAATATTACAAAAGAGCAAATTAGTATACAGTACTCAAGTTCCTCTGTGAGTGATACATAAATTCATCTGGAAAGCTCAGTACAGTGTTATTCTGCTAATTACTGGTTAGTCATCCTGGCCACTACCCCCTACCACCACCATTATATGGCAGCATCTTATTGGACAACAGGGTCACCGAGCCACCAGCCATCACATTAACCCAAAGCAAAACCTCGGCAGCCTCGGAGAAGCCAGGATAAAATAGGTGAGAGTTGGAGCAGTGGCTGGCTCAAAAAAAAAAAGCTTTTAATGTCACTCAAAGTTTTATACCTAATTAACGTCATGTAAAAAAATTCTCATGCCCCGACATCCTAAATATGCCAATTTGTTTGCTTTACTGTGAATATTAAATACTGTATCTAAACTATACTATACTGTACTGTAGTTACCTATAAAGCTACAGAATGTAAAATAAAGTAGTTTATGCCCTTCATCATTAAGCATTATTTTAAAACTGTATATCATTTGCTCAAATTTTATAACTATGTACTGTATTACCTTTCTTCTCATATATTGTTAATGATTGCCCCCAATAAACTAAAAACAATTCATTCATTGTTTAAAGTTATGCCCGAAATGATGTGTATGATTAGTAGCTTTATGAAATATACAAATACAGTACTGTACTTATTAAGTAATTCTAAAAAGAAGGCACCAAACCGGGAAGGCTATGTAGCACCATCAAATGTGTGGAATAATCAGAGGGCGCTAAATATCACCAAGGCTGCCAATATAAGAACAGAAATGAATAAGGCGAACGATATCAAAAGTATTCGATTCACCAAAAATTCTATCGAGGGACAAGCGACCGCGAGGGAAAGTCAGAAAGCAAGACACATTCTCATCCTGGAAGTCAGGACATTCAACCATTCAACAAGGATATGCATGACCATAAGAGGGACAACGCAATTTGGACAATAAGGAGCAGGGCGGCGCTCCATTAAGTAACCGTGAGTTAAGCATGTATCGCCAATACGCAATCTCGCCAGAGCTGTTTCCCATCGCCGGTTACGGTGGTAGGAGGAAGGCCATGAGGACACTACTCTTAAGAGTACGCAGTTGTTACCAGTAACAGAAGGCCAACAATACTGCCAACGGGTAAGGATGGAGGATTGAATAACTGGGTAAAAGTCGGAATAAGGAATACCTCAATTGGAGACGAGACGAGAGTGGACAGCTTCTCTAGCGGCAGGGTCCGCACACTCATTTAACCCTTAAACTGCGCAACATGTCATATGATGAGTAACTTTCTGTAAATTGTGCATCACGTCATATGACGTGATAGAGTACCGCGCAAGATTTGAATGACCAGTGGGGTAGAGGGGGACCCCATATGCTGCCCAGGGGCTATAGTAAACAGCCGCATTTTGTAAAAAAAATCTAGCTCACGCTAACAATGCAACGCGTGGGTGGCCCCAGTTACCCAGCGGTCACCATGACGAGCTCACAGCCAAACACCTCCCGGGCACCAACCACGCAATCACTTACCCAAGAGCAAATAAATAGTGAATTATTTTCTGATGGTGAGGAAAGTGATTTTGTTGACAAAGAAAGCTTGGAGGGCTTGAAAAATTCCAGATCGAAGCATTGAGGATAATCCTTGGGTGCCCTCGTACCACAAAGATACTTAATATGAGAAAGGAACTTAATATTCCGAGCGTTGTTGATTGTGTTATGGAAATTAACTGTCAAATTGGTATAAAAATGCTTAGGCTAACTCGTCCTAACCCTTGCACAGAAGCCCTCCAGAATTTCTTTATTGAAGATCAGCATTGTTCCAAATGGATAACTAAAACTGGAACTCAATGTATCAGGTTCATAATTTGTACCAAGAGAAACAACAACGGCACTTTCCTGCACCGTGGGAGATTACATGCTCTTTCCAGTTTTAATCCCTCCCTTTCCACCCAAAAAGCAAATTAGAGATCAGCCCAAGCTTCGTCTTGAGGCAAAGCTCAACGTCATATTGATGCTCTGTCCACAGAGCATTCTCTCTCTCAAATCATATACACTGATGGTTCCCTACACCGCTCCACGGGTGCAGCTGGAAGTGCAGTTGTCCTGACAATGGGCGATGGCAGTTGTGTGCTGTCGCAGTGTTGGCGCTCTTGGCATCCGCTGCTTGGTGGGAGGTGGAGTATTGCTCCACAATTTTCGTTTTTGCACGTGGCTGCTACAGCTGGATATTGTGAATTTGTTCTCAATTGTTGACAGTGCCTTTGAGTGTCGAGGAAATGACCGAGGCGGTATCCCTAAGTGATAGTGAGGACGGCAGACAAGATAATAACAGGCCGTTTGAAGTAGTAATGAGCAGAAATAAACGGCGAAATATTTACAGACAGAGAGACAGTGAGAGTAAAGATGAAATAACAGACCAAAAAATGAAACCCTACTCAGCAGGACGCAAGAGATGCAATTTAATAGGAGGAAGAGGTTGTTCCCTTCAACATGCCAACTGAACTTCCACCAAAAGCTGGAGTGGACGGTACGCCTGGCTAAGGAGTGGACCCGAGATCAGCTCGACGACGACGGCAGGTTTACGTCTAACGGTACGCACCACAGGCCCTGGGTTCGGCGTTGCCGCCGGCAATCCAGGATGACTTCGTTATGTTCGTTAAGCCCTCGGCGTCCAGTTCCAGGGGCCGTGCCCTGGACAGGGGGGTGGCCCCCATGTTGCCTGGGGCACGGTATCCTCCAGCAGATGGCGGTGTCGAAGCGTCGTCGGGAACGTCGTATATTTAATGATTCTCATTCGTTGCCTTCCTAAGACACTGTAAATTAAGACTTTCTCACACTTGGTGTGAGAAAATATGGAAGGTTTATTATTTTGTACTAGCAGACATCTCGCGACATGCCTTGCCCTTATTCATATTTATGTTCTACATTTCAGCACTGTCATGCCTCTGCTTCCAGATCACCTCGGATTCACTTTGCCACCAGCCTAACTTTTTACTCAGGCATTCGTAGCCTTGTGCATGTCGCACGTTCAAATCTTCGCGTTCGCTGTGTTACAGTATGCTTGTTCACTTTTCCTTGTCTTACGTCATTAAGTAAAGTCAGCCAGGATGTCCTATTTGCAGAGTTATAAGTAATTTATTAAGTAAAGTCAGCCAGGAGGTGCTATTTGCAGTATTTGCGGGCCCTTAATTTGCTTTACGTTCCCTGGCCCTGCATTTTGCCTAGTTTTGGCCCTGCATTTGCCTAGTTTCCTCAGTAGTTACAGTACTTTCGTTTGGCTCTTGCAGTTATTCACGTCGCTTATTTGGTTATATTTATGTTATGCATCTCCTCCGTTCTCTTAATGTAAAATGGCTATATATACACGCCGATTGTATACCATTATTTTGTACTTGCAGATACCACGTGCCATGCCTTGCCCTATTCATAATTATGTTCTACATCTCAGCGCGAACATGCCTCCTGTTTCAGGTTACCTCGGACTCTCTTTCCCAATCAGCCTCCTTAATTTACTCCGACAGTTGATGCGTTGCTCATGTCGCATGTTTAATTTTGCGTCGCTGTGTTCAGTATGCTTGCCCACTTTTACCCTGCCTTACGTCATTAAGTAAAGACAGCTAGGATGTGCTATTTGCAGAGTTACCAAGTAATTTATTAAGTAAAGTCAGACAGGCAGTGCTAGTTGTGCACGTGGCTGCTACCAAGTAAATTATTAAGTAAAGTCATTTGCAGAGTTGTAAATTATTAAGTAATCAGCCAGGATGTGCTATTTGCTGTTTTGACCTTTATGCTATCTCGCCCGCTTACTTCCGCATTCTTCCATCCCATTCTACGTTATCGCCTCTCGCTTTTGGGCCTATGTCCTTTCTCAGACCGGGTTGTGTGCCGTCCAGCGCGCCTCGGCGACGTTATTTTCTCTTTGGCCCTCTGTCATTTCCTCCCCCCCCCCCCTCAAGCCGTGTTATTGTTGGACTCGCAATTTGATTTGTAGGCAAATTTTTCTCCCGCAATTTACTCTTTGCACGTTCAATTTGTTATTAAGGGACTATCAATTAGGATTTGTATTAATCTATTGCTTTGCCTCTGTGCCTTTAAGTTATTTTCAGCTAGGGTACGCTAGTTGCAGTGCATTCGGGTGGGGCCCCCCCCCCACAATTTTTTTTTTTCCTCCGGTTATTTCGTCCTATTACACTCGTTCCCTCATTATATATTCTGAATATTGTGCATTATATTTGACCTCCCATTCTTCATCGTATCGACAGTACATTAAGTTACATTTGGATGCTACCGAGAAGTTTAGCATGGCCTCGCGCAATTGGCCATTCGGCCTTCCTTTCGGCAAGCAAGCCAGTCGCATGACGTCGGCCAGCTTGTTGTTGGCCAGCGCAGCCAGCATGCTGTTGGCCATACGGTCGCTAACGTTCTTTGGCCAATTTTACTCTTCTTGATTGTTGTTTCCTACTACGTAATAGTATTCTATTTAATTTTACCTCATCTATCATTAGGTTAGGGTCCCTTACCTCCAACCGCTATTCCTTCCACTGCGCTCTGCCCGCTTGGCGCTCATCTTCTGTTCCCGTTATTCGCAGCCACGACAAGCCGGAACCCCCCCCCCCCTCCACACCTACTGCGGCGAGGAAGAGAACGCGAGCCGGATATTCCTCTGATCACCATTACAACGCACGCAGCGGTGCGGGATGCAGCCGCCCAGGGCCTACGTTAATACTATTATCTTCCCTTTATTTGCTGGGCTATATGGTAGTATTAATATTATTCCGTATCGTTACTGTCATTCCAGTATTATTTTATTAAAATTAAATTGTTATTATGGTTTGGCGTTGCTTTCTTAATTTCTTCCATTCTGCGGCACTTGCCGTCAGGTTATTTACGATATTACATTGTATTCTCCATTGTACGATTATTTACGACATTGTATTCTTATTATTATCCTTATTACAGTTACTGAATGGCGGCTCCCTGCCGTCGATTTCACTTTGCTCCTGTTCTAAAGATGTTGCCGAAGTTCACGGCGCACTAGCTGCGGCTCGCAGACGCTCATTGACAACACAAGACTACACTCAGCGGCCACTTAAGGCAGACTCCTTGGCTTCTATCCAGCCCAATCACCCGTCTGGAGGCAGAGATGGGATAGAGACCAAGGGTAATGTTCCCCGCTCACATTCTACATCCGCTTAGGACACAGCATGTTATAGATTTGGCTTTAAGAATTGGTTCTTATTCCATTTATTGTTTATGTATATGTTGCTTAGTTGTTATACCCGTTCTTGGTATATGTATTGTTTATATTCAAGATTTATAGTGTTTCGTATTACCCTGTTATAGTTGCTTTGTGCGAAATATTTACAGACAGAGAGACAGTGAGAGTAAAGATGAAATAACAGACCAAAAAATGAAACCCTACTCAGCAGGACGCAAGAGATGCAATTTAATAGGAGGAAGAGGTTGTTCCCTTCAACATGCCAACTGAACTTCCACCAAAAGCTGGAGTGGACGGTACGCCTGGCTAAGGAGTGTATGGAATATGGATCACTCTTCAAGGAGGGTCTTCATCGGCACTACATAACAGTTGGGA